GCCTTGCACCCTCACCACCGTCTTGATGTTCAGGTTGGGAACGCCGTTGCACTGGCTCCACACCATCGTCAGGAAATTGTCCGTGGCCTCGAAGCTCTTGCTCTGCGGGCCGTAGAATTTGCGGCTGATGGTGCACGTCCCCGTTTGTCCGGAGAAGTAGTAGCTCGACTCGTAGACGCCCAACGAGTGTTTGCCGATCGCTGCAAACCCGCGGCCGGTCGCCTTCCCCAGCGTGAAAATCCAGCCCTTAGGATACTTCAGCGCGAAGGAGAGCTGGCAGAACTTCCTCGTGTTGGCGAGGCCTCCGTCGGTTGTGGCAACCATGCCGCCGAAGATGAACGTCACGGTGGAGAAGTCCGGCGAAAACACGTAGTTCGTGTTTTGCCGGTTGCAGCCGGTGCCGCCGTAGGTGACGGAGTCTATGGTCACCTTGGGCGGGCAAACCGCGCTGGCGGAGGATGCAGCAGCGATCAGAAGCACGGCAGCCAGCGCTGCCATGGGAAACGTCAATCGTGCCATCGCTCCGGACCTGAACTTGGACACCTCCCTGCGCGCTACGGTACGCTGGTCGCTGAAATTCGGCCTTCCGCCGGCCTCCGCTCTCGACTCCCCTTCTAGGTTGCTCCTCAAGTTACTTCCGCCGTGATATCACTGCGCAATCAACGACGAGGCGCAATTCAACCTATGCCCTAGATGAGAGGGGGCTGTTCACTTTTATACAATCTCACGCAGAGTTCAACACGAAGGTGTGGGCTTCAATCCAGTCCTCAACTTTCTATACGTATGTGGACTTTCTTCTCAACCATGTACACTCCAACGGATCAAAATTTTCAAACGTATCTGGACAACGCCGTTGTTCATATGCGTGTCGAACTCTGTGCGATGGAGCGAAGCCCTGTGCCTTCAACCAGCTCTGCTGCCGTCGACCCTCGACGGCCGACGGTACAGTCGCAGGCGTAGACTCAGATGTCCGTGCGCGAGAGCCAGTCCCACTCACCAGAGGGGTCTCATTTTCGGCCCGGAACTGATAGGTAGGCGCGAGCCACCACGGTACTGGACGCATTAGCGAAGTATTCTACCACGTCGTTGAGGATTTCGATCTCGTGTGGCCTCGAGTGACACAGTACGGCCGTCGAATAGATGGGATCTCGAAGGCGTGGTAGTTTCCGAGAGGGAACTGTACAGATGCCCACCTCCCGTCCAATGAGATGCGTCCAAAAAAAAAATAAATCAAAGTTGGACTAACTTTGACATGATAGCTCGTGGCTTTGCGTGGGCCGGAAGTCTGGATTTTATGGGCTCTAAAAGTGGGGGGGTTGATTTCCAGACTTCGTTTTTTTTTTTTTTTTGGCTCTGAGAAATAGAACTTGAAACGTGAAATTCAGATATGGTGTCGTGGTGGATCTGACAGGAACCCTTCCGCGTCTGCCTTGGCTCTGAGAAATAGAACTTGAAATGTGAAATTCAGATATCGTGTCGTGGTGGATCTGACAGGAACGCTTCGGGGTCTGATGGCCTGTTGGAGGCATCATGAGATACATCGGAATGAACGTATCCCTATAGCCATTACTTGTTCATCCTCGTGGCTGTGTTCGTGGACACATTTTATTGCCACGCTACATCACTATGAAGACTTACGTGAAGGAGATCGTACAAACCGATGAATTCCGTGCACAGCTGTTCTTCATACTTTAATGTGCTATGTCAATTCCATTCATGCAAAAAAAAATCACTTTGTATTTTCCAAAAAAACATAAAATTGCGTCACACATCGTAGAATACTTCGCTAGTGGGTCCAGGCCCCAGGGGCAGGGTTCCATTGGCAGGCGGGTAAGGTAGAAGCGTGCAAGATGCAGGACCGTTGCTGATGGCAGATAGCACGGCAGCAAGAATTTTGATGCACCTCTTTATCTTAGGGGCTCGCCACACAGGCTTTCGAACGAAGGCATTTTTTAAAAGGTGTCAGACTTTTTTCGAAAGTCTGCTCGTCGAAAGGAACCCCCCCCCCTGGCCACACAGACTTTCGAAACACCCAGGCCTTTCGATATGCACATTGGGGCCTGGGTCCACTGGTCACTACCCGTGTAAAACGAGAGTCTGAATTTTTGCCTAGAACATGTAAAGATACTTCGCCATAATTTTTGTCCTTTGTGCATGTCTAGAGTAGTGGAGCCAGGCCCTTGGAATCGCCCATTTTTTTAATTATTTTTTGCCGACCGATAGACCGAGTAGGCGTTCTCGCAAGACCACTCGAGGGCGTGACAGGCGGGCGGATCTCTCCTCTTTGAAATGACTTTCGACGCCTGCCTATCTGACACCTTTCGAAACTTTTTCAAAAGAACTGGTTTCGAAAGGCTGTGTGGCAAAGACACAGCCTCAATTTTGTGCGTTTCGAAAGCCTGTGTGGCGAGCCCCTTAGTTTTCCTTTTTGAATAAGGCCATCAAAAATGAGAAGAAGAATTATTTTCACCGGGTCTGATTCGTCCCAGACTCCAAAAGGGAAAAAACATTCAGGTACTCGAGGGGTGTGCTCTTAACCAGAAAATTTGGCACTGTCAAACGACCCGTGTTTCCCTGAACATGACGCACCCTAACAATGAATGTATACAAGCTATAATTTGAGGTTTTGGGCATGGTTCGGAGCAATGGCGATTTGGTATTTCTCTAGTCACACGGCACAGTCCACAAATTGTGCAAGAACTTTTGTGAACAAATTTTCGCCAATTCTCGAAGACAATGCTAAAAACAAAATAGGGCATTTGCCGTCACCTCCAGAGGTGACCGCACATTCCCTTGCCCAGTAGGTACCCCGGCCGCTGACAAATGGGCACAGGGACGGTACATTCAGGACTTTGGGCCTCGTTCGACACCACTTGAAAATACTCGAGTTTCAAGGGCACCCTAACTCATGGAAGGTGATTAATTTCCACTAACTTGTTTTTTTCGTTCCACAACCCCTTGACGAAACCCTTGAGACGGTCGTCCTTCAAATTGAAGTGCTGACGGCATTGCAGCAGGAACAGTGGTGATTGGAGGAAAGAAAAATAAAGAAAAGAAAAAGGTTCGTATATTACCCGTTTTGTAGCGTCCAGCCCTTGCGCCCCAAGTGACCTCCCGAGGCACCCTTGTGATTTTCGTCGATTTGCCTGGGCCGCACTTCCATTTCAAGTGCGGACACTTGGCCGCGGGGATGTGGGAACAATAAGCGAGTTCAAGGGTGCGTCATTAGGGTGGGGTCGAACGACACTTCCTTGAAAAACAGCAATTTCCAAGGGGTGTCGAACGAGGCCCTTTGGCAAATCTGTGTGACCGGTGTCGGCGCGAATACCCTTACAAGGGTATCCGCCCTGGTTTTTGCAAATGACAGGAAAATGAGTTTGGCTTAAAGTTAAGTATACCGCATGAGGCGCGGTTGCGTCCGCATGGTTACGATGGCCGGATGGTTGACTAGACCAAAGAGTGTGTGGGTGCGCAGGTTTGAGGCGCGTGTGATTCCGTATCTATCGTTGATTATAAAGCCGGTGCGGGCGCCAGTCGGTCCGTTTCTATTTTTATCTTTATTTTCATTTTTGCTTATTCTTGATTAGACTAGGATTTAAGAACATTTTTCTTTTGTTGGTACGTTTGATTGAGCTACGCGCGCGCGCAAGGACGACGGCATCGACAGCGACGGTGTGACCCTGTGCGGTAAATGGGGTGGCGTAGGATGGCGCGCGAGGGCGTCTAGGGCACGGTTTGGGAAGGCCGGCGCGAATACTTAGCGGCCGTGGGTTTGACTGCAGGCGGGGATGATGCCGAGGCCGTTTTTCGGGCCTAGACACTGCGCCGCATCACCATATATTGGGTTTCACGTAGGCTAACTCCAGACTTGGGCTTAGCCCTATAGGCTACGACTTGGGTTGACGTTACGGAGGTTCGGGGATCGAGGTCGACGGGCGTCGGCGCAGCAGTTACAGCGGAGCGGCGTGGAGAAGACGGAGGGGTGAGGGCCCGATGGGGCTATCCCCCTCCGTTTTTGTTTACAGGCGCGGCAGAGGGGGGGGGGGTGCGATCCGTAGGGCTCCCCGTTAAGTTCCCCGTTTTATTTTTATTACTTCGACCTTTCTTTCTTCTGTTTATTTTTGTTTTACTCGCGTCCCGTTCTGGGACGCGATACCGGGCCTAAGGCGGGGCCATGTGCAATGTGTTGTATTCACGGGATTGCCAGAAGTGCAATTTCAAACTGTTTTCGTGACTACGCCAAAGTCGCCCCTTTTCGGTGTTACGGGGAACCCCGTGGCAGCCACATCCATGCTCAAGACTTTGACAGGGGAGCATGTGGGGGCTGCACCCATCCAGCAGGCACGATACCTGCTACAATAAGGGGGCGATACCGGCCAGGGGTCGGCCCAGGGCATCCGGGCTGATTCCCTTTGATGGGCCAGTCGCTGTGCGGGCGCAACCGATAGTGGAGCGGACGGGCAGAAAGTCGGGCGGTGCCGGGTTCAGTGGGTATACTGTTGGACAGCTGGGAAACGGACCCGAGTTCGGGGTGCCGACATATTTTTTTCTATCCCGCCACCTTGAAAACACGAGACGGAGGGAACCTGAGTGGCGGGACCCCCCTGCGGGTGCCTCATCCGCCAACCATGATCTGTTGTGTGTGGTTTGGGTGTGAGTATGCCGCGGGACTTTCCCCGCGCCGGTCATCAAGGTTCTCATTTGAGTACTTGCTACTACCACCAAGAGCCGCACAGGGCTCGGTCCACCAGGGCCTTTGCAGCTGGCCGCGCCTCTGACTCTGTGACGGGCTGTCTGTGAGGGAGTTGCCTCTTGGGGGTCAGAGGCGGTGGCGAGCTCCACCGGAGCAAAGCGGGCCGGCGGGCGGACCATTGCGGGGCGGGGTCGGGCTGAAGAAAGTTGAGGCTGGCACGAGGTATCAGGAGGAAGGGGGTACCTAGGTGCATTCCTGCACCAGGTGCACTCCCAAAGCGAGGGAGAGCGGAAGTGGTTGGACAGCACCAGGGCAGTAGAGGAGCGGACTGCGGAGACTGGGGAGGTAGGGCAACGAGACACAGGCGGCGGGCGCTGAAGAGGAGCAGCGAGGTAGAAAGCGGAGTAGGTAGCGGGGTGACTGGGGCCAACGGGCGGTGGCACGGGAAAGCGGGGCGCTGTGGGAGCGGGGTGCCGTCGGGAACTGCGGGAGAAAGAGCGACGAGTGGGAAGGGACGGAGTGCACTAAACGCATAAACGGACCTAGACGTACGCCCTGCTAGGTTCATCCGGGAAGAAGAAAGCGCTGATGGTAGCGGACAGGGCGAAGCAACGGAGCGACAGGACGGGGCGGATCGAAGTGGGCATCGGGGAGTTTGTAAGGAGGTGAACCTGGCGTGATTATGCGACCAGGTGCATTCACGGAGGGAGAACGGATATGGTTGTACCCCGCTCGTTTCTTGATTAAAACGAGCGGGGAAAGATAGTAGACAGGGGTTTTCAGACAGGGCGAAGGCGTTAGTGAAGTTAGTTTTAGAAGGGAGTGTGTAGAATCGGTGTTAGTAGAAAACGTCACTGCGCTGGAGATGGCGGGAGGGACAAAGTGAGGCGCGCTGGAGATGGCGGGAGGGACAAAGTGAGGGGCGGAGGGTAGTGTCGGGCTCGCT